TCCGGCCTCCCCTCCGTCGTGAGTAGCTGGGACGACAGGCCATCGCCTCCATGCCCGGCTCGTTTTTTCTATATATTTTTAATTTTTCACCTTATTTCTTTCTAATTTTTTTTTTTTTTTTTTTTTAGTAGAGACGGAGTCTCGCTCTTGCTCACGCGGCCCCAACGCTCACTGACCATCGAGCGATCCTCCCGCCTCAAGCCTCCCTCCCCGAGTAGCTGGGACGACAGGCACGCAAAGGCCACCCACGCCCGGCTCGTTTTTTTCTATATATTTTTTAGTGGCCAAAATTCCTGTTTTTATTTTATATAAGACATGAGTCTCGCCTGTCGCCCGGCTGGAGTGGAGTGCCGTAGCCTAGCCATCGCTCACGCACTCCAACTCCTGGCTCCAGCGAGCCTCCTGCCTCAGCCTCCCTCTCATTCTGGCACCCTATGCGCACCCCGTTGTTATTGGGTGTGGGGCGGAACAAGGTGCGCCACAGCCACTTTAAATTTTTCTACTATTTTTTTATTTGGCCAGTATTGTTCTTTTTATTTTATGTAGAGACGGGTCCATCCGCTCTTGCTCAGGCTGGCCTCAACTCCCTGCCTCCGAACGAGCCCCGCCCTTGGCCTCCCGGAGTGCTGGTGATGACAGCGTGAGCCGCCCGCCTGACCTTCATTTCTTTCTTTCATTTCTTCTTTTTATTTTATTTTTATTTGAGGCAGAGTCTCGCTCTGTCGGCGGCTGGAGCGAGTGCCGTGCGTCAGCCTTGCCACAGCAGCTCTGAACTCCTGGCCTCCCAGCGAGCCTCCCGCTCGGCCTCCCTCCCGAGTGTGACTATCCAGCACGCGCCTCCACGCCCGGCTTTCTTTTTTTTTTTTTTCTATATATTTTTAGTTGTCAGCTCCCGTTTTCATTTTTTAGTGAGACGGGGTCTTGCTCTAGGTAGGCTGGCCTCCGACTCCCCGGCCTCCCGACAGCGATCTCCTGCCTCGGCCTCTCTCCATCAGTAGCTGGACTCCAGGCTGAGCGCTCCACGCCGGCTCTGAATTAATCTCCTTATTTTTTTATATATATATATATAATTTTTAAATAATTTTATATAACTTTAACAATTGTATAATTTTTATATAATTTTTATATATTTTTAGTATATAATTCAAATGCAGAACCTGTGAGCTTAATTGACATCTACCATGTGCTGAATTGCATTGCAGACTTGCGAAAGACTCGCCTCCTGCGTGCTTTGTTTACCGACAAGTAATCCGGTATTAGATTTAATATATTAATATTTAATAATTTAATATACTTAAAGAGAATATCTATGACACTTTGACGCTATGCACGGTAATGTATTGACACAAATGAGCAATAAAATCCCACCGGAGACGCGTCGGCGTTTATTTTCCCGCTTCCATGCAGTTAGGAAAGCACGCGTCCTGCTGGTCCTGTAAGCGAATCGGAATAGACCCGGGATTCCGCGAACAGATGACCGGTGCTCAGAGGATGCTTGAGAGCCCCTCATATTCCGGCCTCCAATTCGTGCGAGGCCGGGCGCGAGCGCCACGCCTGTTGTCATCCCCGGACTCTGGAGGCCGAGGCGAGATCCCTCGAGAAGTCGGGAGTTGGAGGCAGCCTGAGCAAGAGCGAGACGCCGTCTGCTACTAAAATAGAAAAAATTTAATTGATCAATAAAAAATATATATATAAAAAGTTAGGCCGGGTGCGGGCCAGGCCCTGTCATCCCATCACTCTGAGGGCCGAGCCTGAGGATCACTCAAGGTCTGAGAGGTGGGAGGCCAGCCTGAAGCAAGAGCGAGACCCGTCTACTAAAAATAGAAAGAAATTAGCTGGAAAACTAAAAGTTAAAGTAAAGTGAGACAGTGCGTGGTGTGGGCTTTATACTGCATTCCAGCACTGCTGGGAGCCGAGGAGGGAGGATCGCTCAAGGTCAGGAGTCGGCCAGCCTGAGAAAGACGACATCCCGTCTCCAAAAAAAAAAAAAAATAATAATGGCCAACTGAAAATAGAAAAAAAATAAAGAAAAGTTAGCCGCGCGCCGAGGCTCACGCCTGTCATCCCAGCACTCAGGGAGAGCTGAGGAGAGGATCGCTCGAGGTCAGTCGACAACCGGCCGAGCAAGAGCGAGACCCGTCTCTACATATAAATGGAAGAGAAATTAGTTGGCTACGTAATTATTTATATATACAGAAAATAATTTGGGCGCGGAGGCCTCACGCCTGTAGTCCAGCACTCTGGGAGGACCCCTGAGGCGGGAGGCTTCGCCGAGGTCAGGAGTTGGAGAGCCAGCTGAGCAAGAGCAAAGACGTAAAATGAAAAATTTGTCAGGTAAGAAATACATATAAAAAAAAATTAGATGGGCAATGCTGGCATATGCTTGTAGTCCCACTTAATTCCAGAGGCCGAGGCAGAGGATCGCTTGAGGCCAGGAATCGAGGCTGCTGTGAGCGAGGCTGAGCCACGGCGCTCACGTCTGGCCTGGGCAACAATTTTTCAAAAACCATAATTTTTTTTTTCAAAAAAGTAATTAATAACAAATAAAACAGGGGTGGAGAGAGGGCGTGAATGGAGCAGGTGAAATTATCTCTCACCTTGGGGCTGACCCCAGCACTTTGGAGGCCAAGGCCGGCAGGATCAACTGGAGGCCCAGGAGTTCGAGGGCAGCCTGCAACGTAAGGGAACCCCAGTCCATTGGTGGCCTTTTCCTTCCGGCTAGGCCAGAGCTGCTGGCTACTGAGCTCTTGTGGGGGCGAACGAGCTCTTTATTTTGAGAAAGACTCGCTCACAGCAGCCTCCAACTCCTGGGCCTCCAGCGAGCCCTCCTGCCTCGCCCTCCTCCCGAGTAGCTGGATCCAGGCAATGCGCCTCCACGCCGCTCGTTTTTTCTATATATTTAGTTCTCCAGCTCATTTCTATTTTTTTTTTTTTTTTAGTATTGACGGGTCTCAGCCTGCTCCAGTGCGCCTCCAACTCCTGGCTCTCAGCGAGCCTCCTGCCTCGCCCCTCCGAGTAGTCTGGACGACAGGCACGCGCCACCACGCCCGGTCGTTTTTTTCTCTATATAATATTCAGTTGGCCATTAATTCTATCTATTTAAGTAAGACGGTCTCGCTCTCGTCAGGCTGCTCCACTCCCGGCTCCGAGCGAGCCCTCCCGCCTCGCCTCCTCCCTATGTAGCTGGGACTGCAAGCAAGTGCCACCCGCGCCCGTCTAATCGTTCCTTTTCTGGAGGGACCGGGGGTCTCACTGTGTTGCCCAGCCGGCCTCGCAACTCCTGGCCTCTCGAGCGGATCCTCCGCTCGGCCTCCAGAGTGCGGGATGACGGGCCTGAGCTCCGCGCCCCGGCTGACAGTGTTAAATTGTTTTGTAAAAAGTTGCAGTTTCGGTCAGCATGGGATGTGTTAGTACTTTATTAAAGATAGTTTGTATGAATATGTTATTTATATAATAAGGGAAGAAAATGTCCAGAAAGGGGTCTTTGAGAGTTATATATGTTTTCTTTTTCTTTCTTTTTTTTTTTTTTTTTGTTTAATTTTTTCTCTGCTTTTTAACTGGGTCTAAAATTAGTAACTAGGGAAGTGTATTTGGAAGTCTGGTCTTTATTTCTTCGTATGTATTTGATCATTCAGCGCAAATATTTTATTTTTATATTTATATTTACTCCTTGTTCTATATATAATATAAGTAGTAGTTCTTGACAATAATCTCTTATTTTTTTTTTTTCCTCCTTTTTTTGAAGCCAGCCTCGCTCTGTCGCCCGGGCCGGACGAGCGCCTGGCGTCAGCCTCTGCTCACGCAGCCTCCGACTCCGCCTCCAGCGAGCCTCCCGCCTCGCCTCCCTCCCTGGTACCCTGGGACGACAGGCGTGCGCCGCACGCCCGGCTCGTTTTTTTTTTTCCCTGTCTATTTTTAGTTGGCCGATTATTTGTTTCTATTTTTTTTTTTTTTTTTTTAGTAGAGAGGGGTCTGCTCTTGCTCAGGCGGCCTCCAACTCCTGGACTCGAGCGAGCCTCCCGCCTCGGCCTCCTCCCAGAGTGCGGGATGACAGGCCTGACCTCCGCGCCGCCATTGACAATATTCTTTTTTTTTTTTAATTATCTTAAATTTATTACTTTTCTTGCTTTTCATTTCTTTTTTTTTTTGTTGATCGTCACATTCAGGAAGATAATATATATATATTTTTTAAATCTTTAATTATTTAAATTTTTTTTTTTTTTTTTTTTTGAGACAGAGGTCTCACTTCTTGCCCGGGCTGGAGTGAGTGCCGTGGCGTCAGCCTCGCTCACAGCAGCCTCACCGACTCCTGGCCTCCAGCGCGAGCTCCCGCCTCAGCCTCCCAATACCGGGACTACAGGCGTGCCGCCGTCCACCGCCCGGCTCATTTTTTCTATATATAATTTTAGTTGGTCATTAATTTATTTCTATTTTTTGGTAGAGACGGATTCCGTCTCGCTCGCTCTTGCTCAGGCTGGTTTTGAACTCCTGACCTTGAGCAATCCGCCCGCCTCGGCCTCCCAAGAGCTAGGATTACAGGCGTGAGCCACATTTTTTTTTTGATCTTTAATCATTTCAAATTTTTCACTTTTTTCGTACTTTTCATTTTTTCTTTTTTCTTTTTATTTTTGGTGACTGTCTCATCTTTCAGGAGGACAATATTATTATTATTTTTTTTTTTTAATTTTTTTCTCATCTTTATTTATTTATTTATTTTTATTCCGGCGTATCGCGGGGGTCCGGATTCTAAGGTCTCAACAAATGCCGTCTTTCCGACCCTCTTTCCCTCCAGCGCGACCGTCCCCCCAGGAAGAAAAACGTCCCGGTCTTTCCGACGGGAACACTTGTTCCTGACACCGTAATATTCCATCTCTCAGACGCCCCGAGGGCTCTCCCGACCCTCGAGGGTCGAAGTTCCTGAGTGGCCTCTCGGTCATTTGCCGACCCGCAGCCCAGAGGACGCAGAAAATGAGTGACGCGCCCTGTCTGTTCTTTCGCAGGCGAAAGGGGAGGACGAGGAAGAGAACAATCTAGAAGTGCGGGAAACCAAGGTCAAGGGCAGAAGGTGAGCCGGCCGGCGCGCGGGGTGCGTGCTTCTTTCTTTCTTTGTTTTTTTGTTTTTTTGAGGCCGAGTCCGGCTCTGTCGCCCCCCGGGGCTGGAGCGAGCACGGTGGTGTCACGGCGGCCTCCGACTCCCGGCCTCCAGCAATGAGCCTCCCGCCTCGGCCTCCCTCCCTCCCGAGTAGCTGGGACTAACAGGCGTGCGCCTCCACCACGCCCGGCTCGTTTTTTTTTCTGTATATTTTTGGTTGTCCAGCTCATTTATTTCTGTTTTTTATTTATTTTTTTAGTAGAGACATAGGGGTCTCGGTCTTGCTCAGGACGGCCTCCAATTCCTGGCCTCGAGCGATCCTCCCTCCTCGGCCTCCTCCCGAGTACATGGGGCTAACAGGCATCTGGCTAGTTTTTTCTGTCTATGTTTTTAGTTGTGCAATGAATTTCTTTCTATTTTTAGTAGAGAGCTGGGATCCGGCTGTTGCCCAGGCTGGCCTCCGACTCCCAGCCTCGAGCGATCCTCCCTCCTCGGCCTCCCTCCCGAGTACCTGGGACTACAGGCATCTGGCTAATTTTTTCTACATATATTTTTAGTTGTCCAGCTCATTTGTTTCTATATTTTTAGTAGAGGGACGGGGTCTCGCTCTTGCTCAGGCCGGCCTCCAACTCCCGGCCTCGAGCGATCCTCCCTCCTCGGCCTCCTCCCGAGTACCTGGGACTAAATGCATCTGGCTAATTTTTTCTGTATATATTTTTAGTGGTGCAATTAAATTCTTTCTATTTTTAGTAGAGAGGCGGGGTCTCACTCTTGCTCAGGCCGGCCTCCGACTCCCGGCCTCGAGCGCGATCCTCCCTCCCCGGCCTCCGAGTACCTTGGGAACCTACAGGCATCTGGCTAATTTTTTTCTATACATATTTTTAAGTGGTGCAGTTACGTCTATTATCAGTAGAGGGACGGGCGCTCTTGCTCAGGCACGGCCTCCGACTCCCGCCTCGACGCGATCCTCCCTCACCCGCCTCCGTGGCGCCCGCAGGGCGTGGCCTCCGCGCACGGCCTCCCCCTTCTCCCCGTCTCCTTTCTCTCTCTCCCCTTCCCCGCACCCCCAGGCGGCCCGGTTCTGTACGGTGAAGCTGCCCGCCCCGCTGGAATCCCGGGCTCGCAGGGTGTCGCTGGTGGTGGAGGCGTGTACACCACGCGCCTGCGGCCCTACGCCGACCACATCAACCGCAGGCCGAGAAGCAGTTCCGTGGTGTTCGAGGCGCAACCAGCTACTTCCTACTCGCCCTAGCCCCAGGCCACGCAGACCACCCCGCGCGTGCGGTGCTCCCCGAACGCGTGAGAGTCTACAGCCGGCTCGGGCAACACACGCGCGGCCTCCGACGACGTGCTGCGACTACGGCCCCCCCTTCGCGCGACGTGCCCAGCCTTCAGCCAGGTAGGCCCCCTCCAGCAACGGCCGCGAGGGGCGGCGCTCGGCCTCCGATTCTTTTCGGATGCGGGGGGGCGGCCTCGGCCTACCTGATTTTTTTCGGATCGGGGCGGAATCACGGGCCTCCTGAATTTTTTCGGATCGGGGCGGCCTCGGCCTCAATGATTTTTTTTTAGGTCGGGCGGCCTCCGGGCCATCTGATTTTTTTTCGGATCGGGGGCGAGCCTCGGCCTCCTGATTTTTTTCGGATCGGGCGGGCCTCTGGCCTAATTTTTTTCGGATGGTCGCCTCAGACTCTGATTTTTTTCGGATCAGGGCGGCCGGTCGACGGCCTCGTAATTTTTTTCGGATGCGGGAGGCCTAGGCCTCCCTAAGTTTTTTCAGATCGGGCGCCGGCCTTGGCCTTAATTTTTTCAGATGCGGGCCCCGCCTTGGCCTCTAATTTTTTTTAGATCGGGCGGCTTCGGAACTCGCGGTAATTTTCTTTCGGATCGGGAAGGCCTTGCCTCTAATTTTTCGATCGGCGGTCTCAGGGCCTCTAATTTTCGATTCAGGACGGGGCTAAAAGCCACGGCCCACGTGTGGCCGATTCCTCTCTGTTTTTTTCTTTTTTTGTTTTTTTTTTTGAGACAGAGTCTCGCTCTGCAGCCGGGGCTGAAGTGAGTGCCAGATGGCGTCAGCCTCACGCTCCACCTAGCAGCCTCCGACTTTGAGGCTAGTGAGTCTCCCTTCCTTGGGCTCCTCGCCTCCCAAGTAGCTGGAGTTTTTTTTTTTTTTTTTTTTTTTTTTATTTTTTTTTTATTTTTTTCTACAGGTGTGCGCCTCCAGCCCGGCTTTTCGTTTTTTTGTATATATTGTTTAGTTGGTCCAGCTCCTCATTTCCTTCTCCTTTTTAGTAAGAGACGGGTCTCGCATCTTGCTCAGGGCTGGTTTCGAACTCCCGGACCCGTAGAGCGAGCCTCCCGAGCCTCGCCTCCCCACTAGAGTGGCTGGGACGACAGGCGTGAGCCTCCGCGCCCGGCCTGCCCGTTGTTTGCTTTACTTATCAATGAGAGATTGCAGTGTGCACAGGAATTTGGTCGGCAGTTCTTCGGGAAACTCTAGTCCGGCTCCCCACCCTTTCTTGGGACGGTGAGGCGGCCCCCTGCTCAAAAGTTGGGGGCCCGGCTTAAGTCCCTGCAGAGCGACAATGGAGATCTGGCAGTCATTTTAGGCCGGCGCCGCGTGTGTGGTACACAGCAGCGCCGACTGTGGCTCCCCCCGAAGGCCGGTGCTCGCCCGTGTGTCGTACACAGCAGGCGCCCGACTGTGTGCCCTGTCCGCCCCCGCAGGCCGTGCTGCGCGCGCGTGTAGCACCAGCAGGCGCCGACTGTGTGCTGTCACCGCAGGCCGTGCTGCGGCCGCCGTGTACACAGCAGGCCGCCGACTGTGTGCTGTCCCGGCAGGCGTGCTGAAACGCAGCGCGGAACCAGAGAGCGCCGATGATAGTGTGATCGCCAGCAGAGACCGTGCATGACGCAGCGCACTTCGAAGACAACCCGTTCATCGACAGTGACAGGGAGATGGCGCGGAGCCATTCAGAGTGATCCCGCACTGGGGGGCAACGTGGCGGTGAGGAGAGCGTGTGGACTGCGGCACATCGAGCGGCCGGCGCTCAAGGGCCCCTTCTCGCCCGCCCGCGCGTACGACTAACCAGCGCCAGCCCGACAGGCGCGGCCGCCTCCGTGCGGCGCGCTTCCAGGTCCAGCCGCGCCTGTAGCCGGGGCGGGGGGTGCGAGCTGCCACGAGGGGTTGCCCAACCACCACTCACGAGGGGTGGAACGAGCGCTGCACGAGGGGTGACGAGGGTGACGAGCTGTCAAGGAGGGTGACGAGGGGTGACGAGCTGTCAGCGCAGGGGTGTGACGAGGGATGACGGAGCTGTCACGAGGGGTGGATCGAGGGTGACGAGGCTGTCACGAGGGGTCACGCAGGGGTGACGAGCTGTCACGAGGGGTCACGAGGGCGAAGGGGTGATGACAGCTGTCACGAGGGTCACGCAGGGGTGACGAGTCTGTCACAAGGGTGACGAGGGTTGAGGAGCTGTCACAAGGGTGAACGAGGGGTAATGAGCTCGGCCCACAAGGGGTGATCGAGGGGTGACGAGGGGTGACGAGCTGCCACGAAGGGGTGAGCGAGGGGTGACCAAGGGGTGATCGAGGCGTGCCACAAGGGGTGACGAGGGGTGACAAAGGGGTGACGAGCTGGCCACAAAGGGCGTGACGCAGGGGTGACAGTGGGTGACGAGCTGCACAAGGGTGACGAGGGGTGACAGGGGCTGACGCGAGCTTCGCACATAGGGGTGACGAGGGGTACAAGGGTGCGAGCTGCCACAAGGGGTGACGAGCGGGTGAGCAAGGGGTGACGAGCTGTCACAAGGGGTGACAAGCTGCACA